ATGATGTTCGTATGAATATCACGAATAATTGAATTCAATTAAAAAAGGACAACATTCGTGAAATTCATACGAACATCATGTCGTGATTTTTTGACCTATGGCATAAAAAATCACGACATGATTTTTTATGCCATCGGTGTTTGGTCATAAAAAATCACGACATGATTTTTTATGCCATCGGTGTTTGGATATTCATTTTTGCGACACATTCGTACATTGAAAGAAAAAGTATGTTAACAATTGAATTAACAGTTTAACATTCAATATTTTCTTGGATTTAAATTAACTATATATAGTTAATTTAAATCGAAGAAAATATTAAATGTATTTAACCGCAAAAACTGTTGATTCAACATAATTTTTCTCTTAGTGTACGAACGTGGCGCAAAAATGATTATCCAAACACCGTTGGCATAAAAAATCACGACATGATTTTTTGTGCCATCGGTCAATCGCAAACAGCGATGGCATAAAAAATCACGACATGATTTTTATTTCTCACGCAGTGACATCCGGATGATGTCCGTATGAATAAAATTTGTGAAAATCACGACGTGACGTTCGTATGATTTTTATTTATCAAGCGGTGACTTCCGTATGATATCAATATGAATCAAATTTGTGAAAATCACGACGTGATGTTCGTATGAATATCACGAATGTTGTCCGGGTATATAGTTGTAGAATATGGTTCAAATTAAATTGAAGCTTTTATACAGTATAAATTATACTTCTAATGACAAAACTTGTTCATACCTCTCGGTATACCTATAGGTATAAAAAAATTGTTTGTTTTCTTATAATTTAACTTAGGTATACCTAAGTTAAATTATAAGAAAACAAACAATTTTTAGAGAAACTTGCAATGTGAAAATATGTAATACTCCCATGACATCCCAGTGAACCAAACCGTGACTTATGATCTAAAATTTACGTAACACGTAGATCATATGTAGCTAATACAATTTTTACGTCATAGTGACATAATACTGACCCAAAACGTGACTTTCATATGATCTAATTAAATGACTTACATATTACGTACATCTTATGTAATATTAAAGTCATATCGTGACGTAACATTAAAGTCACTTTTCTTACGTAAGACTGACATAAGAAATCTGTCATAATATTACATAAGTTTTAGGTCACTGTTTTATGTAAGACTGACGTAATAAATCTGTCATAATATTACCTAAGTTTTAGGTCACTTTCTTACGTAAGGCTGACGTAAGAAATACGTCATACTATTACATACGTTTTAGGTCACTTTCTTACGTAAGACTGACGTAAGAAATCTGTTATATTATTATATAAGTTTAAGGTTACTTTCTTAGGTAAGACTGACATAAGAAATTTGTTATACATATTATTTAGACGAACTAGATGCAAAAATAATTTCAAAGTATGAAATTCACTGTATTTTAATGTTTAAATTAAACTAATTTCAATGAATGAAATAGGCAAACAATTTTTATTTTTTATTCATTGAAATGGTTAATTCCAATCATTGAGTAAAATAACGTAAGTAAATTCTATTGATTGAAATTAACGCCGATTATTTTAAACAATAAAATCAGTGGATACTTTTACTTACCAATCAGTTTAATTTAAACATTAAAATACAGCAAATTTCATACTTTGAAATTACTTTTGCATCTAGCATGATGAAAGAAATAACGCGAAGTTCCTTGAATTTTTTGGCTACTTAGTACTTGGTCGATTAAATGAAAATATGGTTTAAAATTAATCAAAAAATAATGTATCTTAATTTAATATGAAATAAACATCATATAGATTTTTATGATTCCGGTTCCTACTGCTTTATGACGTAAAAATTTTGAAAATAGCGTCGTACTTTCAAAAGTACACATTTTATTCAATGGTCATGTGAAAAATTATGTATGTATTCATAATCATGGTTGCAAGTACTTACAAGTACCTACTTATTTTTTAAATTTTAAAAAAATATCAACTAAAGATTTACGAGTTATTACGTGTAAACTATTAAGGAATTCTTCATTGATAAACAAATTTTATAATAATATTATAATATGGCCCGGTTATTGTGTTTCAGACAAATAAGGGTAAAGTTGTCAAATAACATTGATATATTAGATGTTAACAGTTGCAATATGCAGTAAAGGTTGCCTATGATAAGTAGGTATCTACTATAATATAGTAGAAATCTACTTATCATGGGCAACCCCTATTGCATAATACATCTCGCTTATGTGGCACTATTCGTTAAGTATATAAGTTGACACTGGCTGCATTGCAATTTGAGATTTAGGAATCCGAACCTCGGCAAATAAACGAGTCACGAATTGTGGCCCAAGATAAAATTTAGCTTTTTCACTGGAATTCCTTGTTGGAGTCAGGATTGTTCCGTCAGGATCGCCATGGAATTTCCGTGGCCTTACGCTAACCCACAATTTACTCATTTGGAAGAGGGAACTGATTTCAGCCAAGTGAGCTGTTTCAGTATTCACTTATTTTGCCCCATGATGAAAAATAAGGAAGGGGGCTTCGTCATTCTTAGCCTAAGAATCTTAGGTCAGATTTATGTCACATTTATTACGTAAATATTATGTAATGGTATGATGTCAGTGTTACATCAAGATGTTTACGTCAGAGTCTGACGTAAGGAAGTGTGAAATAATGACTCTTGTATGACTCAAGTCTGACCTATATCTTACGTAAGCGTGACCTGACATGACATCATATTTACGTCATATTTACGTAATTGTGTTTACTGGGATATGTCATGGGAGTATTACATATTTTCACATATGTGATTTATTAAAATTTTTAAAGTTATGATTTTTCGATGTAGATAAAATTCAGTCGAACTTATAACTATTTGTATTGACAAAACTTTATGTAGGTACCTACACTTTAAGCTGGATTAGAAAAACTACCACATTTTTAAATACCATATTATACAGTCTTTCAAATAATCCAAAATACTTATTTATTTTGGTAAAAATAAATTTTTCTAACCTTAAAATTACAAATTTAGATGATATTTTTGTTATAAAATAATAACCTAGGTACCTTTAATACAGATATACTTATTCCATAATAGAGAAGCTAGATTTTTTTTCAATAATGCTGTTTATTTAAAATTATTTTGTAGAGAAAACCCGATATTCGGAACAAATGCACAAAAATATTACTTATTTGGCACCATAGGTAGGGGAGAGTGGGTAGAGTCTGGACACTGGGAGACAATGGACAATGGACGAATTCCGCGGTTCCAGTAAAAATTTCAGGTTGGTTCTACTATTACACATCGTCAAGTTGGTAAGGTATCAAATAGTGGTAGTGAAATAAGTTTGAGATTAGCTGTAGAAGAGGTAAGTGGAAAAGTTTATTTTCGAGTTTTTTCATGTAATATTTTACTTTCCCCTTGTAAGCTTTTCTGCCCAGACCGTTGTAGATAAATAATTTAAAGTTACTACATATTAAAGCATGTATAAAGCATGGAACTTTTGTTATATCCTTACTTTATTCCGTTGCTATATTTTGAAATTATGAACATTTTTTTTGTTTAACATCATGTAGGGAGAGTTTGGATACACTGTCTAGAGTCTTCCTCTATTGTCCAAACATAGTCCCGGCACTTCGTTAGCAGAATATTGCCAAAATTAAACCAAGGATATACAGTCCAATTCCTTAAAATGCAGTTTCTATCATACAGATTTAAAGAAACACATGAAGATGAAGCCTTGGTGGATTTTAAGGACGTGGTATTGGTTCTTCCCCCCCACTGACGGAGTTCGATTCCATAACATGATTTACTTTAATTTTAATTTGTCGCAATTTAGTATTGAATAAGTTTTGCTCTGATTTTTTCAATAAAATTCCTAAATTTATAATATTTTTATAGTGTCCAAATGCACCCCGTACGTTGTCCAGAATCTCCCCGTATGTGGGGTGACTTTGGACAGATGACCGAAAATTTCCAAAAATTCGTAGCAAACCCATCTTACGGTTTAAAGTGCACATATTTATATCTTTGCGTTTTCAAAAGTCAACACTATTACCTGAAACTTTGAAATTAGAAATAATTACATTTCTAAGAGACCCAGGCAAAAAAATCTAAAAATTGTCCAATGTCTACCCACTCTCCCCTACCCTTTAGAATTTCATTAAATGCAGTATTTCTATTCCTAAATTCTTATACCAACCATGGTATTGTAATGTTATATAGATTTATACATTTTTAACGCCTAAACATAATATTATTTCTTTCGTTGACTATACTTTGACAGATACATAACCTGAAAAGCCTTAAATGCCAAAAACAAAAATTACGTCCTTGGGACGTACCGAGTATATCCGCTTTAATTTTCCTAAATAAGTAAGATACTGGACGTACCCAAAACTTCCGATATAGGTCTGGGACGTTCGGACCAATGTGGGACCCGAAATGGACGTCCTGGGTACCTCTTGTGCTATCTGGGTTTATTGAGGTTATGTAACATAACTTACATTATTTATATTTCTTCTGCTTTAAATTAACACACATTAAATTCTTATTCAAAGTTTCTTGGCCTTGTATCATGGCCTTAACGAAAATCAGCGGTTAAACAATTGACATTTAAATGAAAAAAACAAGGAAAGTTTCCAAGGAATGTTTAAACATTCCTTGGAAACTTTCCTTGTTTTTTTCTTTCTTTTAAGCTACCGGAAACATTCCTTGGAATTCCAAGGAATGTTTCCGGTAGCTTAAAAGAAACTTTCAAAATGAAAATAAATTCCCAATTGGAAACTTTCCAAAACGGAAAGTTTCCTTAAAATGGAAACTTTCCGATTCCCATCTCTAGTTATTTCAATAATCGAGTACTCGAGCGGTTTTTCACTCGAGCGATCCCAACACTATTTACGAACAGCAAGAAAAGGAATAGGCCTCTTAAAATAAATACTTTAAATTATTTACAACTTTTATTTTTTATATAATAAACTATTTAAAAAATAAACGAGGTTTACTAACTGGAAAATGCTATTATTATTATTATCAAAAAATAAAACCAGAGAGTCTTGGTTTGCTGGACAGAGTGTATAGTAGTTTAAGTGAACTTAAATTTAGCGCGCTTTTCAGGTTAGGTTTAAAATTATTTGCTGCTAAACATAACCTACAAAGTTTGTGCGGTGTAAATATTGTTTTCAAAACTTCTTGTTGTTAACTATTTAAAATGGCTAGCTCTGAGCCAGCACATGCACTTAACTTAGGTAAGTAATAGGTATATAATAAGGAAACATTCTGTTTACGTAATTTATTTTTTTAGATATAGCCCAACAACAAAGTTTTGTTAGATATTTTAATACATTGCCTGAGGTATGTAGATTCTTCTTTAAGAGTCGTTTTTGTATTTTTTAAACGCAGTGACTACGTGCATGTTGGAGTGCCTGCAATTTAGTTTTTACGGGCAAGCTAGTGACTATGAATGAAATTCAATTTAATTAAAAATTTAAAGTGGCAATTTATACGTCCTACGTATACAAAATTTGGTATACTTCTTGTGCTTTTATTGGATTCACGTGACCGTCATTCACTTGGCCTGCTTGTCAACAATGATTGTTTTATGATCCAAGCTTTTTAGGTACCTACACAAGAAAAAAAGTTGTATTTCTAATTGCTTAATCTAATTATAATATCAAACTTATAATAAACTGATGAAACCATATTAAAATTATATATATTATATATATATATATAAAAATTATTTTATTTATTTATTTTTATTTTATATTTTCTTTTATTAACTTTAATACCATACCATTCATTAAAACAAAGCTTTAAGGATTACAAGTTCATATACCTACATTTTTCTTCTTATTTTTGCAAGTTTTATTGATTACTAAATTTTCCTGAATAAAATCTGAGACCCTGTTTACAGGTACAATTTATTAACATTTTATTGACGTGCCGCCAACTTTAAATTAACCTGCACATTACGTTACTAGCGCGCCTGTAAAAAATAAATTGCAGGCACTCTAACGGCCACCTAGTCACTTCGATTTTTAAAAATTAACGTGCTTTAAAAACTTAAATCTACACTAATTATTGTGTATTTTCCTTTTAAAACTAAAATATTTACATACCCTACAAACCATGTCGACGTTGACATTCTAAAATGCCTATAATGAAGTTAATTTGCAATGATTTAGCTTTTTCAGGAATCCTTTTAAGCCATTTGAGATATAATTGAGGTGTGGAAGTACCAAAGGCCCTTTGGCAAAGGGGTATGTGCCATTTTTTTGTTGAGATTTTTCGATGAAAACATAGTATGTACCCTTACTATGTTTCTAACGAAAAATGGTACATACCCCTTTGGTACCCTTCAATGTGCCATTTTTTCTGTTGAGATTTTTTGTAAAAAAACATAGTATGTACCCTTACTATGTTTTTAACGAAAAATGGCACATACCCCCTTTGGTACTTCTACGCCTCAATTAGGTTTTAAGATTCTTTGGAAATTAAAAAATGGCATTTCAGTTTTGACAGCACAGCATGTTAAGCTTTTTGATAACATCGAGACATATTCGTCGACATCCTCGAATGCCTCACATAACATTAACTCACATGGGTTTAGCTTTGTCTGATATCCTCTACTCATATTACAAATAAAATCATACTTAAGAAAATAAATTGCAGAAAAAAACATTGTTTACATAAACTTATAATTATAATATATATGAAGGGGTAAAAAGCAAATGCATGAAAATAAGTTCTCATAATAATTTTCTCATAACGTGAAATTTGTACGAGTTCTGCATGTTTATTAATCCAAACAATAATATTAAAACAAGTATCCAGATTTTTGTATATAACAAAAACTGCTTCTTACCCCCTCATATATGAATACTGGGTGTCCCATAATTAGCGTCCAATACTTTAACAGCAGATTCTGTGTTTAAAAATTAAAAAAAAGTTTCTATAAACATAGGTCGAGAAATGCTTTTTAAGGGAGCTATAGCCCCCAAAAGAGAAGCCCCTGAAGATGGTTTTTATTTAATATCTTCAAAACCATTCAAGATAGAAAAGTGAAAGGGAATTGATCAAACTTTTTATGGCCAATAAGATGTAATAATAACAATTTTAAAATGTCCATGAGGGGTGGGTCAGATAGATAGGGAGTGGAGGTTAAAACCACCCTAACTTTTTGTACGTGTCTTGTGCCAGGATTAGATGTCAGATTATAAAATTTGGAGTATTAAAAACAAAAAAGGTTCCTTTTGTTGAACTTTAATATCATGCACCGTTTGCGCTAAAAATTAATTTGAAAATTACCTTACATTGCATAAAAATTCTTAATGAAACTAGAGAAGAAGATTCAGCGTAGGCCATGGAAAACGGCTGCCATCTTTAGGAAAAATTATTTAAAACAGGTGACAGTTTCATTTAATAAGTAACAGAGTGTTTGAAAATTGTGTTTAAAACTAATTAAGAAAAATATTAGTAGTAGGTAATGTTTTGGAAAAATGGAACATTTCACAAACCGAAAGCTGGCAAACATGCACTTCGTGTATGGTCGTGCTCTGACTACTGAGCATGATTACGGACGAAAAATTCCTCCAATATATAAACATTTGACGAAAATGACAACTTTAAACATGCTCGAGGGCAGATGCGACCCCATAGGAATCATGCAATTGAAAATGCCTTGAACTATTTTGGAGATGACCCCCAAACAAGCATAAAAATGGTATCCAGATTAACACAGATACCGCGGTATTCTACTAACTACAACTAGTAGCTAAGAGAAATGATATTGATAAGGATTTTTTCTTATTGATAAGGATTGTATAAGGGTCGAATAAGAAAAATCAGAGCACAACGTCCATATAACGCTGAACGTTGGTCTCGCTGATTTTAGAGTGGTTTAACCCTCGTGTCAGCCAGCTCTCGGTTTGTGAAATGTTACATTTTTTCAAAACAGTACTTAATAAATCTTTTTAATTAGATTTAAACAACAATTTTCAAACACCTTGTCACATTGCATGAAATGCCACCTGTCTTGAATAATTTTTCCTAAACATGGCAGCCGTGTTCCATGGCCTAAGCTAAGTATTTTTCTCTAGTTGTGATTTCATTATGACTTGTTATGCAATGTCTCTACATGTCCAACCCAAGAGGAGCTTTTTTGTGTGTAAAACCTCAAAATTATTATAATATGACATCAAATCCTGGCACAAGACACGTACAAAAAAGTTAGGGTTGTTTTTACCCCTAATCCCTATCTATTTGACCCACCCCTCACGGAAATTTTAAAACTTTTATCATTACATCTTATTGGCCATAAAAAGTTTGATTAATTCAAAAAGTTTCACTATTCTATTTTAAACGGTTTTGGAGATATTAAATTAAAACCATTCTTTTCTTCTTTTTGGGGCTGTACCTTCCTTGGGAAACATTTCTCGAGCTGTTATGTTTATTTAGTATTTTTGTGCGTAGAATCGGCTGTTAGTATTTCACGATAATTATGGGACACCCTGTATATATATTTACTCCTAATATGCAGCCCCTATTAATGCCACCCTAGGCAGTTTTAATGTTTTTTATATCTAAAAAAACGTTTTTTACATATCTACTTAAACGTTCTACCTACAAAAAGAAATGCACGCTTATAACAATTTTCTTATTACCCTCATAAGCCTCAGATATTTTTTTTCAAACATGATAATTTTCATATTTTAACACTCACTAAATACTACTCATTGTTTAACCCACAATTTTATCTTTTAAATTTTTCGCTCCATCCTTTACTTTGTTACCAAAGCGCTTCCACCAGGGCAATTCTTCAGTTGTGGTGGGTACCCCTGGCGTCGTAGATACAATTTCAACTGCCTCTATGGGAGTTACAGATGGTGAAAGTAACTCGGCTCTACGACCACCCTTAACGCCTACTTGAGATTTGTATACGTAAACACCTTGTGTGGGTGCTACTGGTTCGACAATTTTTGCATGCCTAGGTTCCAACGGTTCGATATCACGGCCAGTATATGTCACAATTTCATCGTTAATCTGATGCTGAAAACCGTAATTTAATTGCTTGTTGTGAGAGTTGCTGGTTTGTGAATTGTACGAAGTTGGTCTATATGGTTTGTAACTGTAGTTTTGTTCCATTGGCGAAGGTGTGGAGTGTGATTCCATATTAGTATATTCATCATTAGTGCGACTGTGACTTAAATAGGAGTTACTAGATCCGTAGCTTTGGGAATTCATTGATCCAAAGCTCCCATACGAGTTTTGGGGTCTTAAATTTAATTTTGTACTACTTTCGTATATTCTCTCGTTTTCAGGTTGTTTTGTATTACTTGTTGAAAATAAAACTGGTTGTATATCACCTCTATTAATGTTATCTGTTACAGAACTTGCACTGTCATAGTTGTAATTTCTTCTATAGGAGTTGTAAACTCCTGAATCTGAGTATTGTCTATTAAATTGATTATTTTTTCTTTGCGAAGCTCTTATTGCTGCTATTAATCTTTCGGCTTCCGCTTCAGCTTCAACCATGGACTGCCCAGAAGATTCAGAACTAGTTTTTAGCGAAGCTAATGTTGAAGAAGCGCTGCCAGTTGTTGATTGGGTACTTGATTCTAATCGGATGTTGTTGGAAGTTTCTTCAAAGTCGCTTTCCTCAACTTGTTGAATTAAATCATTGACTTGAGGTATCGATCTGGATGTGGATATTCTTATAGATTGGCTATTGCTTAACCCTAATAATTGATTGTTTTGTGGTTTTGGTGTTGGTTTAGTTTGCGAGAAACCTCTTAATGCGTCATCTTCTGTTTGTTGATTGATATTAGAGTATTGCACGTTGTTATAGAATTTGTTTTGGTGGTTAGTGCTGCTTGGTGATAATAAGCTAGTAATTTGATGATTAGCGGTTTGCTGACTTTCAACTTGTATTTGACCATAATCGTCATTATCCTCGATTTTGTGTCCTACAACAGGTGTTTGTCCAATTTGAGGTTTGTTGTTTGGTTGACTGCTTACTTGCAGTTTTCCTTCTATCTCTTGTCCCAAGTTAACTTGTTCTAGACCAGTGCTTTTCTGGGTTGTTTGTCGATTACTTTCAACTTGTAGTCGTCCAAATTCATCATCACCTTCGATTTGTTGTCCTAAATCAACCGTTTTTTGAGTAGTAGACCTATACCTGTATCGGTAATTTTGTCCTACATGTTGTTGTCCCAAGTGAATGTTGCCATGACTACTGGATTGTTGGACACCAACTTGTATTTTATCAAAAGAGTCCTCTTCAACTACCTGTCCCGAATCCTCTTGCTGTTGTCTCACATTTGAATTGGTTGGAAATTCACTACCTTGTACTAATTTATTGTTCTGTGATTGACTACCAATTTGAAAATTTCCAAATTCATCATCTTCAATTTGTTGTCCTAAATCAACTGTATTTTGAGTAGTAGACGGACGCATGTATCGGTTATTTTGTCCTACATGTTGCCCCATGTGAATGTTACTATAACTACGGGATGGTTGGCTACCAACTTGTATTTTTTCAAAAGAGTCCTCTTCAACAACCTGTCCCAAGTCCTCTTGCTGTTGTCTCACATTTGAATTGGTTGGAAATTCACTACCTTGTACTAATTTATTGTTCTGTGATTGACTACCAATTTGAAAATTTCCAAAATCATCACCTTCAATTTGTTGTCCTAAATCAACTGTATTTTGAGTAGTAGACGGAAGCATGTATCGGTTATTTTGTCCTACATGTTGCCCCATGTGAATGTTACTATAACTACTGGATGGTTGGCTACCAACTTGTATTTTTTCAAAAGAGTCCTCTTCAACAACCTGTCCCAATTCCTCTTGCTGTTGTCTCACATTTGAATTGGTTGGAAATTCACTACCTTGTACTAATTTATTGTTCTGTGATTGACTACCAATTTGAAAATTTCCAAAATCATCACCTTCAATTTGTTGTCCTAAATCAACTGTATTTTGAGTAGTAGACGGAAGCATGTATCGGTTATTTTGTCCTACATGTTGCCCCATGTGAATGTTACTATAACTACTGGATGGTTGGTTACCAACTTGTATTTTTTCAAAAGAGTCCTCTTCAACAACCTGTCCCAAGTCCTCTTGCTGCTGTCCCACATTTGTATTGGTTTGAGATTCACTACCTTGTACTAATTTGTTGCTCTGTGATTGACTACCAATTTTAAATTTTCCAATATCATCAACCTCCTGCTGTTGTCCTACATATTTATTACTTTGATATTGACTGCCAACTTGATGCCCTAAAGGTTGACTTCTTCTACGTTGATTTGTTGTATTTACACTATTAAAATCGTCTTTAACTACCTGTCCCACAAATGTATTGCCTTGAGTTTGACTGTCAACTTGCAACTTTCCAAAATCTTCCTCTACTTGACCCACATCTTCTACTTGGTATTGATTTCCTCCTCGTTGGTCTGTTCGCAAACTTGCGAAATCGTCGTGTTCAATAACCTGACCAATATCTTCAATTTCTTGACCAACTTGTTGTTGATATTGACCATATGATCTTCTGTAACTATTATAACAATTATGATTAATTTATTTTAAGGATTTTAAATTCTATACCTTTTCAACTTCAAATTGGAACTAATTAATTTCAATTTGGAATGTAACAATTTCAAATTGGGATTAATCAACTTTGAATTGGTAACTAACACGTTCAAAATGGGAATAAACGAAGTCAAATTGGAAACAAACAAATTCAATTTGGTACTAATCAACTTCAAATTGGAATTTTCACTGAAATTGTAATTCAAACTGTTATACGTTTTGCAAGTCGAACGGCAGTCACGTTTAAACTTAACTTAATTAATTAAAATGCCTTAAGCCGGTCACATACCTGACGAACGTTTTCATTCGTTAGCGTTGCTATCAATTGCAGCCGCTCGCAGTTTTGCTCGAAATACGAACGAACGATGACCAATTAAAAGTTGATTAATCCCAATTTGAAATTGTTACACACCAAATTAAAAATGATTAGTTCCAATTTGAAGTTGAAAAGGTATAGACATTCATAGGCTTAAATGAGTTTACAAACGACTTGTGGGCCACAAAAAATAATTAATCTTAATTCCACAACTTCTGATTATTTATTTTGTCTACTCCTATTGCAACATTATTTGTTTTTTTTCATATATTTATATTGGTAACCATTATAAACGGCCCGCCTAGCAACGGTCATAATTAACTCGTTATTTACGTTGTTAGGCATCAGTGATTGGCCATTCGGGTTTTAAATTGGGAAAAAGTGAGGTTTGAACTGCCTGAGATGTAAAATTTTTATATATATATACTAGGGTGCTTCATTTTAGAGCGACATTTTTTTCAATGTCCCATCTAAAAACCTTGTAACCGGTCAGAAAACAAAAATTTTGAGCTATTACAAAGCTCTTAATCTTTATTTTAAGCCGTTGCTATTCAATTTTTAAATATTTCCCTTTAAAACCATTAAAAACAATTCTCCTTCCGCTCGTACAGTAAGAATATTTTTTTCGAATTTCGGTTCTAAAATCTTTATACAGGATGAACTTATCTTCAAAAATGTCTATTTAAGCAAGTCTGTAAGTTGAATAGGTTCTTCACAAATTGCCGTTCTACTCGAAAATCTTCTAAAATAGCAGTAAATCGTAACTGGAGACTAAACTATTTATTGTAGATAAAAAACGTAAATGACAATTTTGTAGGGAATTTTGTGCCCTAAAAATTTGTTAATAATATTTTTCTGTATCACTTATAGTTTAGCTTGTACAGCCACCCAAAGTGTCAAATTCTTAAAAATTCAGTTTCTGACTGCAATAACTATACTATTAGAGTTACGTGAAAGAGTGGCTGTACAAGCTAAACTATAAGTGATACAGAAAAATATTTCTTTACAAATTTGTAGGGCACACAATTCCCTTCAAAATTGTCATTTACGTTTTTTTTCTACAATCAATACTTTAGTATCCAAATACGATTTACTGCTATTTTAGAAGATTTGCTTAAATAGACATTTTTGAAGATAATTTCATCCTGTATAAAGGTTTTAGAACCGAAATTCGAAAAAAATATTCTTACTGTACGAGCGGAAGGAGAAAAGAATAAAACATTGTTTTTAATGGATTTTAAAGGGAAATATTTAAAAATTGAATAGCAACGGCTTAAAATAAAGATTAAGAGCTTCATAATAGCTCAAAGTTTTTGTTTTCTGACCGGTTAAAAGATTTTTAGGTGGGACTTTGAACAAAAAATGTCGCTCTAAAATGAAGCACCCTAATATATACGTGTGGCGACTCTTATGATCGGGATAAGTAAGATTATAATACATTTTGTTACTAATGAAAATTACGTTATTGGAGTAGAAAAAGTAGTATTACACTCGAGATAATGCATATTATTTACTCGGATGATTTACGTCTCTTGCATAACGGCTCGAGAGGCAAACCTCATTCTCGTGAATAATATCCCGCATTTTCTCTCGTGTAATAATATACTTTTAATTAAAATAAGACAAATACCAAAAAAACTATTCTAAATAAGTATTTATGACGAATTGGCAAAAGTCGTCTCTAGATTTTGACGTTTTTGTTTGTAATTTCTTACTTACTCTTTGATACATTGTAATGAATAGAATATAATATAATTAAATATAACACGGGTTTAGATTAAAAATTAGAATATATGTATATTAGGGTGTCCCTTATTTTTATTTTTTTACGCATACCCTCTAATTATATTTATTAGGTGTTTATATACTCCCAGTAAAAATTTCAGCTCATTCTATAAACGGGAACCCGTGCCGACTTGCATCTGAACCCTCCGTTAGCCAACGTTAGGCGCGCGGTATTTTGTAACACGGTTGGTCGCGAGGTCTTCGATCGTAAGTCATTTTGTGTTTGTTATTATGTGACCCTTATATTATAAATTATTGACAAATGTTAAAATATAGTTTTATTTATGTGTATACTTTGATAAAAATGTATATTTTCACAGGGAGTGGCTAGTTACCCGGAAGGGTCTGGTGAATAGGCCGTAAACTCTGAAATTGATAAACTTAATGGGTTTTACTCTAAATAACTAAAAGAGTATATTGTGAGAGATGACTACCGAAAACTTTTGGGAGGACATCAAGAAAAGAAATGCTTATAAAAAGCTGAAATTTCATATAACAGTATATTTTAGCAATACTTATTAATATATTAATATATTTAAGGGATAAAATCAACTAAATTAGTGAAACAAATGATAGAAACAAAAGCAATACTATTAATTAATAATCATATTTAATAAAATCATTAGAAAAATACAGTCATGAAGTATATCTTCTTTTTAAAGTGTTTCGTGTTACAAAATACCGCGCGCGCCTAACGTCGGCACGGGTTCCCGTTTATAGAATGAGCTGAAATTTTTACTGGGAGTATATAAACAAGTAATAAATATAATTAGAGGGTATGCGTAAAAAAAATAAAAATAAGGGACACCCTAATGTATATATATACAAAAAGTGTTATAAGGGTTATTTAAATAAAATGAATGATACAAAGAATTATCTTGTTAATTTTTTTATTTGTTTAGTATGCTTGTGTATTTAATTATTTTGTAATATTAAATATTATTATCATTGTAAGAGAACATTTTAATGTAAACATTTAAAGTAAGGTGTCGATTTAAAGTTCTATTAAGTCGTTAATAAATTACATTGTACTATAGCCCAAAAGTCCCACCACATGGCTTCGATACAAATAATTAAGGTTAATATTCTGCCAATATAATATATATTGTGTTATAAATTAAGACCTTTAAATAGAAAACATTATTTTCAGAAATTCGGACAAAATTAGCTTGACGCTGACAGAAAATTAATCTTAATTATTTGTATCAAAAACATGTGGTGGGACTTTTGGGTGTAGACCATATTTTTGTTTTTAACCTTATTTATAAATACAACAAATTGTTTTAATAAAGTGATTAGTAGTATGATTCTTTTGCTTAAGTAATATATAAAACATTGTAGTAATATAAAACAAACATTGTTATTTATTAACGAAATAAGAGTATTTCAAACTATTCCTCTTTTTATGTTAAAAAGTGGAATGTTGTCTTAATGATTTAGAATAATTCAAAGCCTACCCGGAGTGCCTCCTTTGTCTGTGCGAATGGTAAGCGTTAGGATCGTCATGCTGACAGTCTTCTCCGTCCATGGTGTTCACATACTGACCGCTACTGCCAAACCCTCTTACAGGTCTGTAGTTGGAGCTGCTGGCAGAAGCGCTGTAAGAGCTCGATGAGCTCCAGCTTTGGGTCAAACCTTGTTGCAATTGCCTTAGAAGATCACTTTGAAGTTGGCTTCGTAAACCTGCCAACTGCGATTCGCTTACTCCCGAGCCGTAGGTCGAATAGGTGCTGCCGTATCCACTTCTGGCTTCGTCAAGTTGCCTGGTCAAGTTTCTGTTCAATTCTTCGGAGAGTTGTTGTAAGGATAATTGGAAAGCTTGTTGATTGTTTGATCTGGAACCGGAAGAATATCCCGAAGAGTATTGGCTCTTGCTGATGGCTTGTTGAAGGTTCCTTGAAAGTTTTTCTTGTAATTGTCTTTGCAGTAGGGCCAAGTCGGTTTCGCTGACTCCCCCTGATGTTTCGTAACCACTTTGTCTCGAGCCTTGAACGTAACGGTAGTCGTTGTTGCCTCCTTTTACGCCTCTTTGCCCGGCAGTGATCAAAGATCCCATGTTTGTGGCTGATGGTCTCATGGAGGTGTACTCGTTTTGACCGTAGCTTCCATAGGAACCGTAGCTAGAAGATCCGTAACTGTTGCTACTGGATTGGTAGTTTTGTTGGTACCTGGATTTTCTCGATTCAAATTCGCTTTTTAATCTTTGCAACAAGTTTTTTTCGACTTGTTCCCTCAAGGTTTCGTAGTCTCTTTGACTGTAATTGTGTTGGCTGCTGTGTTGTCCATTTGGACCCACCGAGAACATGTATCCGTCTCTTAAGTTTTGGTTGCCGTAGTTTCTTCTAAGCTGTTCGTCAAGCAAATAAGTTACGTTAGATCTTAATTCGTTTTCAAGTCTGTTCAAAACAACATCGAAGTTCGTTAAGCTGAAAGAGGTCAATGTAAAGTATTTTCTTTGAACGTTTTCCAAAATTTCGTTGATTTGTTCGTTAAGTTCGCCTTGTACGTTGTGAGCAATAGTGGAGAGTGGGGCGGGATTAGAGATTGGTGTGTAGCGAATCTGCTGGGATTGTTCGTTGTGTTGCGTGTAGTAAGACGTGGTGGTGGTTTGGTAATTGTAGGGTCTATAGGTGGTAGTGTGGATGTTTGGGTATAAGGTAGAGTAAATCCTGGGTGTCGATTGTTGATAGTTATTAGGTTGGTAATAGTTATTGTTGCTGCTGCTGCTACTACTGCTGCTAGATTGTCTGTATGAGTTTTGTAACTTGCTTATAAGATTTCTTTCTGCCTGTCTGCGCCAGTCTTCCAAATCTTGGTTTCTATAATTAGCAGTTGGTTGAACCTTTCCGCCCGCGATAGAGTAGGTATATCCTCCCTTAATGCTTTGGCTACCGTATTGGTTTCTTATTTCTTGATCCAAGTTATCTGTTAGGTTTCTGCGTAGTTCTTCCTCCAAGTTTTGCAAAGATTGCGATGAATGCATGGAGTATGAGGATGATCTTTGATTTTCATATATAGCGTCTTGCAATTGTTTTTCCAATTGAGCTTGGAGTCTTGCTGTAAGGCTTTGTAGACTAGAAGACATGCTGCTACCATAACTGCTTTGTGAGCCATAGTTACTGTGGCTGCTGCTGCTGCCATAACCGCCATACCCACTTGATCCATGGTAACCGCTCTGACCATTTAGTCCTTCAACCATAAGGTTTTGTCCGTACAGATCTTGGTTCTGTGCGTTCATTCTTCCATAGGAATTCATTTCGCCATTTTCTCCGAAGTTTACTCCGGTGTGGCTGTGGGTTTGTGAGTTGGGGTTCACGTATTCCGAATGTTCGTTGTGAGCGTTCACTTTTGGTTTGATTCTGCCTTCGAGGTCGCCGTCTTTGGAGTAAAATCCGGAATCGTCATTCTTGTGTTGCAACTCGTTGTTTTTGTAAGAGGACGAGGAGCTCTTGAAATTGTATTCTTGATGATAGAGTCCGTTGGGTTTGGCTAGTGCTAAGCTCAATGCCGAGCAAAGCAGGATTGTGGTGGTTTTCATATTCTGAAAAAAAATATATTGTAATTTTTTATAATAAATTGCAGGTCATTAGAGCATTTTTATGGCAAGGTCGAAACATTTTTGTGTAAAACTTGAGCAGGATTAGTAGTATATTATGCGACTAGTGGGACAAGAGGAGATTACTTTCAACTACCACAAGAAATTTAAAGCCAATTTTAATATTAATAGTTAAACTTGTCGCTGTTTATTTTTTTTATTTAAAGCAGAGTTCGCTGCTGCTTATAAAATGTAATCGTACAATTTCAAACTTCTAGTGTCAAACATGAATGGCATTCATGAATGACACTCAAGTATGGGAAAATCCAATTGTCATTCATAAATGTCATTCATGAATGACATGTATGCTAGTCTATGGCCAGCTTTATGTTTAAAGCTAAATTTTCATGTATCGGTTTGTCCGTTATCCGTTTATCCGTTTTTCAATAAAATCGTCCGACAAGAAATGTTTTTATTTTCATGCATCCGTTTTTTAATGACGTTTCACGGATTGATTTGGCGAGAAATAGAAATTAAGGTGAATATATAAGGTTGTGGAATTGACCGGTCAAATTATTTTTGGTCAATTGACACACTTTAAAATTACTTTTTATATTATAATATATACTCGTACACAAATAATAAACCGATAAACCTTTGAATATAACATCCCAGAATTTCCACTTTTACGATTCTATAAGCATTATTGTTACAGATCATCGTAAGCTATAAATTTACGAATTTACAGAAATTTTAGGGGAGAACCCAGAATTGACCTTTTAGCCTGCCAGTTTTAGCTTTTTACAGTCGTGTCCGGCTTTTTGTTGTTAAACTAATGGTTAAAACTGATTCATTTTTAAGGGAAAAACGCCAAGTCCGGCCTAGTAACCCCTCGAATCGGAGAACCAGAAAATTTTGAGATTCACGGGTGCGCAAAAACCGGCCCTTAATATGCATTAAAATGTATAGTTTTGGTTTTATAATTTTTTTATGGTCTTTTCTTTTTTTTACTTTCTTATTAAATAACGACATAACTCTAGAACATTATTCACACAACGAACGTAATTACTCCGTTTTACAATCATAATTAAACAAATATTAAAAGATTTTAAAATAAATTATCTTAAAATAACGTTATGATGTGTAGTGATAGATGAGTTAAAATTAGTTTAACTTTCTCCGTCAGACGTACGAAGTTGAAACTTGACGGACCGATAAAATGTCATAATTTTAGAATTATAATTGGACCAATAAGAGCGCTCCCGGATGATCGAACTAACGGACTAACGGATAAATGAAAATTAAGCTTAATCCGGTAAAAGTATAGAAAATTAATATAAAACCTTTATTTGTAGCGTTGTAGGCAAGAACTCTGTATTATAATATATATACAGAGTTGTATTATGTATACACAAAGTTTTTGGTTTTACCCATAGACCTATTTCTACGCTTACGTCTTAATAGCCATCATTAAATGGTCGTTGCATAAAATACTTATTTACAATTGTCTTCTTTTTTATTGTTACACTAGTTAAAATATATGTTCATTATTTAACTAGTGTAACAATAGCTTACTATGTTCATTGTTTTCCTGTGGGACCAATAATATTTAGTGTGGGACAAATAATATTTCCAAGTATGATGATCAATAAATACCAATAAATTAAATTTAGGTAATATAATAGGTAGTATAGATTAGAACGTATCATATATCCACATTTGAAACAAATGTATGCTATAGGGTTGTGGTTGAAGGAGTACAGTAGCAGAAACAAATCCTGGGAACCTACCACTATATCTTGAGTCTATTAATCGTCGTAATTATGTTTTATTGGCTAATTCAATATTTAATTAATAGTAAAATTGCAAGGGACGCCAATGACTAAAGGGACTTAAAGGAAAATTTACGTTTTTCTATCGCATTTATCCTGTATTTTTGTACCACAACTATGCACCTTTTTACCATTTTACTTTGTTTTTGTAAAACAAAACGACACGAAAACAATACAAAACACATCTTGGAGCCATAAATTGTGTTTGATTAGAAGTCCAGTGTTATGGTCTAAGGTGTTGCATAAATCCACCACTATTTTTGACAGCTGATTTTTTGTACACAGATGTCCACTCTCTACCGCATTTTGTCATTACCAAAATCAGCCGAAATCCGCCGCAATATGTGAACTAGATCATGACAAAGGTAAAAATGTCAGCATTTAAGTAACAGTTATATAGGTTTTGCAGCTCTCACTTGATCTGATAATAGACCATCCAGCACTTACCACGCGTAGGGGTAAATGCAAGTCGAGTGCCTACCTATGCACACCCAACCAATTAAGGGCATGCTCATCTAGTCAGCCATGTATTGTTAGTTAGGCATTACCAGACAATCTTCAAAAATACCTACCCATACATACAGTGTTTGAGGAGTTTGAGTGTGGTCTTCGTGGAAAGCGCTTGGATTTTCTTTTGACGAGTAGCGGCAATTATGGCGATTAACAGTTGAGTTAAGAAAACAATTTTCATCTGAAAAACATAAGCTTTATCTGTCTTTTCTTCGCTACTGAGTCGGTTTCCTGTAACTTTGTTATCAAATCCAAAACATTTTCTATTCACATGCATACCCGGATGAATAAAGCTGCGATTTCCGCACTCATTATTTTAAAAAATAGGTACATTTTACATTATCTTTTTCACGAATGAAAGAAAGGTTTTGGACTTTGCCTTAGTAATCACGATGTTTCGACTGGTAAGTGTATCCAGACGTCTTCAGGTGAATACTGAATAGGTTAATTATTTATATTCAAGCCGAGTGGGTGCATTGGTGGTGCAACAAAGCGTATTTGAGAATCCAGGTGTGACGAATATATGCATGATATAATTCCAAGTTCACATTTGTTTAACAACGGTTTCAAATTTTCCTTATATCCATTGAAGGCTTACTTAAGCAGTCAGGGTTCTGTTGCATGACCGCTGTTTCCTTGAACTTTTTCTTCGAAAATTGTTTCTTCTGACCATCTAATATGGTCAAATTCCTTTGACATATAGAACGTTGAGGGTTGGATGAGTTTCTTTGTCTTCTCGTGGGTTCGTGGGTTCAGCCGATTTCTCAGCCTTTTAAGTATTTTGTCAACTAATTATAATTGCACAGGGTTGAAACATTCCATATTTTAAAGGAATTAAAAAAAAATAAGGAAAATAGGACGACAATCTCATTCGACTTGCTTTTATCAAGTTCATGCATAAATCATTTAAAATGGTAAATACAATACCAAAATATCATTCTCAAGTTGTTTTTTATCATTAAATACCAGAATACTGCATTCGATGCTAAAAGAAACTACGGAAAAAATAGCTCTATTTCACCCTCAAGATTGGGTTTCCAGGATTTTTGCCTGCTATTGTGCTCCTCCTACCACAACTTTTAAGCCCTATTAGCTATGTTTTAAAAGTGGATATAAGATATAAGATATGGTCTACTATAGGTAGGTAAAAGCGGGGAACGGGGTACTTAATGTTTGGGCTAGGATTTTCCACAAAAAAAATTGTTTAAATTTGTGTATCAGGGGCGGAACGGGGTACACCGTTCTACCTCAAACCATTTCGCCCCTGTTAAAACTTATAAGATGCCATGAATTTTGATAAACAGACAAAGTTGAGTAAAAAAGAAGCAAAATAACTGCTAAATATAAGGTAATTTAAATTAATTTTAAAAAATAAGCCTGAATGTACAAATCTCTGAAAACTAAAATTTACGAGTAAATTTTCCCACATTGGCCAAACAAACCCCTACATTAAAAGGCAGCAGCGAGCTGTTGAAAAGGAAAGTGAATCGGTGCGCGCAAAAATGATTCTACGTGTTTCGGTAGGCCTACTACTTCGTTCTGCTCCGCTTTCCACTACTTGGTATTTAGTAAAAAGTGTTGAGATAATTTACAATGTGTCACAAATCATGCGTCATATGAATAGCAAATGCAGAAAAAACAAGATTTTATTATTATTTTATTTATAAACAAATGACACGTGTAATAAAATGTATTTATAAATATGAGATAATTTAAAGTTACTCATATATTCAATCTTTAATCTTAGTAATGTTAAATAATAACAATTTAAATATGAAAATTTTAAAATAAAATCCACTAATAAACCTTGTTTCTGTATTGAATTTTATTAAAACTGTTAAAAAACTGCCTAGAGAATCAGTTGATCAAAATGCATATAAAGCTAGAAATAAGTTTTTTTATATTCACATATGTGTTCTAAAAATAAGGCACTAACGAAGGAAAAGTTATTTTTAATATACAGATATTGTTCATTTATGCATCCTTGGACACATTGGTCCCATAGGAGTCAAATTATTAGCACCCTTACTTTTTTATTTATATTATTTTATTAATAAGACTTATTTTTTTTGGATAACTTATTCTTTATTTTTTGTAAATAGATTTTTTTCTTTTATTTTTAGTATTAATGCGTTTATGTATTAAAACGTGAATTAATAATTTTTTATAAATTAAAATATGTTACAAAAAAATTAGGTAAAGGTGCAATAGGCCTTTAGTAAGGACCCATCACTGTAAATTAATTAATTATTAAAAAATTATGTATTCATATTTCGATACAAAAAACAAAAACTACCTTTTAAGCGAGTTGCGTTATTTAAGCGCCAAATACAAAAAGTTTTAAATTTATTTGCCAGTCTCAATACTTCTGGATTTAACAAATTTGAGGACAATATTAATTATCAAATCTTGAACTAAAAAACATCAGAAATCTATTGATTTTTTTAACGTTAGACCCTAATAGAGAGTTTGCGTTTTGGGTGAATTTTTGCGTGGCGATTTGAATTAAAATATATAAAAATGGTTTATAGAAATTTTGAACAAAAAATAATAGTTTTTTTTTCGTTTAGGGATTATCATAATATTTTTTTATATTTTTGTATATTGAAATCGTGATTAAAAAAAAACTACAAAAAATGGAATTTGTTTTAACCAAACAAAAGATTTTTATAAAAAAACTATTTTCTGCTATTTCTTATACCTTCTTTTCAAAACCTAAAATATTTTTTATATTAAAATTAAGAAAAAATAAGTAATGAAAAAAACACCTCCTTATACCAGATTTGCTATTGTTCTGTATGCATAAAAAAGCCATATTTTTAAAAAGAATAATTTTTTTACATTTTTACAAAATAATTAAATTCGTTTAGAAATATGAAGTTGAGTCGCGGCTCTTTTGACTATCCGTAGAAACTTGTCTAGAAGAAACGTGTGAGTTGCGCTACTTGATATTTCGCTCCCTCTGTGACTGTACAAAATGTACTTGGAAGATATATAGAGAATTTTAAGAGATAGAAGTTTTGTTTTAAGCATTTATGACCTCAGGTGCAAGGTTTAGCTGAAAAATAAAAAAAACACCCTTGACTAGTCCATATTTAAATGTTTATAAATTTATATTACAACCGAAAAGAGTTTCGAATAAAAGTTGTTGGTAATACGTTTCTTATCAATTTGGTAATGGCTATTTTTGACGTGGCATGCATATTTACACAGACTCACCCCTAAATATCAAGGAGGCGCGCCACCCTTGCAAGTTTATCAGGATATTTTCAAGATTTTTATAAAATAGAAAAAAATAAGATCCAAGCAAATAATTCCGAACTATATCCGTGGATACACTATATATTTATTATAATATTTTAATACATAATAATTATAGTATATTTTTACACTTCAACGTATCGCAAGTTTCAAACATATTTTCAATACTAAAGCAAAATGTTTTTAATATGCACTTACATAGAACTTCATAGAATATGTTGTTAATATTTTTTTCACAATACTGACTGAGTAGTCCAGATCCGTGCACTTTCATATATATTCTTAAGTTATCACTCTTGACCTTTTAATAGATATTCCTTTAGTATGAATTCAAAATTTCAAATTCCCAAGTTTTGCATGTACTGACTAATCAATGGATGATACTATGAAAACAAAAATATTTATTTATTTTACTAGAACCAAACAAAAGTTTTAAAAAATAACCGAACAAAAATATTACTAAGTTCTTTATTTCTACATTTTACATCCCTTGGACATTGATTTTTTTTAGGTTTAATGACTTAAATGATTTTTAATCTTGAATTTTATTAAAACAGTTCAAAAGATTGCCCAGAGAATCAGTTAATTAAAATACAGTTAAAGCTAGAAATGATTTTTTCAAATTGATATAGGTATGTGTCCAAAAGGCACTAACGGCATACAAAACATTTTTTTTAAACTTAAATGCTTGATAAAACAATTGGTCGGAAAAATTGTAATTTTTCCCCCATACTGTTAGTGCGCCATTTTCGGAACACTGTGGTTTTTTCACATTCCTACTTGTTTTTTTGGTATGTTGCAAGCTTTTTGTTAAAAAAGTATTTTTTTTTCTTAGACGTTATTCATTGATCCAAAAATCATACTTATTTTAACGCTATCATTATAGCCGTGGCATAAAAACTAATAAAAAGATAAAACATGAATTTTTTTGCACAATAAAAATATTCGTAAAATAATAGTATCTTTTTCTAGTCCTATTGCATAATATTAATATTATTTGTTTTTTTCTGTATATAATGGTAATGATAACCATCATAACCGCCCCGGCTAACAACGGGAATAATAAATTCATCATTCCTGTAGGTAGGCATCAGTGATTGGTTGATTTTATTATTCAATATGATTTGAACCAATTTAAATTGGGAGAAAGTGAGATTGAAACTACCTGAGAGATGTCAGATTTTTTAAATATACAAGTGGCGGCTATAATGATCTTTAAAATTGAGACAAGGTGAGGTTAGAACCGGCTGACAGATGTATTTATAAATTTTGTTATTAAGTTGGGAGTAAAAAAAGAATAGTAAGTATTACACTCGAGATAATGCGCATTACTCTGATGATTAACATCATTCTCGTGAATAATAGCCTGCATTATCTCTTGTATAATAATATAATATTATAGTATGCCGATGCTTTTTAGGATTTTATTGTCATTAAAAATGCTTTTTTAATCAATTCAAGCTGGGCCTTTCCATCTCAAATCGACAAGGCAAAAAGGGGTAGGTCGTTATTTTTTAACGAAATTTTTTGTACAAAAAAATTGAGTGCCAAATTTTGACATTGGCACATTTTTTTTTACTTCATATTTTTTCTTTTGAAGTTAATAATAAAAAAAAACTTTTTACCAAAAGTCCCGAGTTGGCTAAATTCGTCGTTTCGGAATTATTATTTTTTTAATGAAAATGCCATTTTCTAGTAAATTCGTGGTTTATCGCAAAAATTTGGCATTTTATCTAGGGTCATAGAACTGAAGTGACCTTTATAAAGTGTAATTTAGAACTTTTTGACATATTTAACATTTTTTGTCACTTCCCGTTTCACCGGAAATGGTCTTAACTTTTTATTTTTTAATGAAACACCCTATGTATTTTTACATTCGATTCAAAATAAAATTACGAATACATGCATATGTAATTTTTCAATTTTTGACAAGTCAAATAATTTTTTGATTTAATTTTATTTATATCTAGAGTGCCTTAAATTGGCTGTTCTGCTTCATGTTGGCTCAAGTAGCCTGGAAAAAATACAATGTTATTCTTTTTTTGCAATGCTTTCAAATTTAAAAATCATACAATATGCCAAAATTTTTTTTAATAAAAGAGGGTGGTTGGTCATAAAAGAAATACACTTTTTTTAAATTTTATACTAAATATTAATTAATTTTTTAATAATATCGCTTTCAAACTCTTAATTAAATTTGTATGTTTATTAGGTTTTAAAGTGTGTACATAAGTAAATAAATTAAAAAGGCTTTGAAACCTTTGTGTTTAAAAGAAGTATCAGATTTGACAGTTCGTTAGTTTGTTTTGCTGGTAAGTGAATATTAACATTTTATTTTTCTATGAAAACATACGCTAAAACTTTTTATAAAATATAAAATAATAATTGAGGTGGTTAGAATCAAAGAGGTGCAAGAAATTCCTCAACATTTTTTGGTTTTAAATCCACTAAATAAAATCATTCAAATATTTTAAAACCATTATAAAAAGTTATATCCAACCGCCCCATAGTGTGGCCATTGTAGGGAATATCTTGCAATAAATAAAAAAAACGAAATATGAAATTAAATAAAAATTTGTTTTTTCTAAACATAATTAACATGCGCATTAGTTTCTGGACCTGTTAGGCTTAATACTTGAGGTCCATTTAAAAACTTGGCATATCCACTTTTTAATAAAAAAGAGTTAGTGGTGTCTGTACAGCTACGGAAAAAAGTAATGTCCATTTGAATGCTCCATTGTAATTGTTCGGAGGCATATATGTCTATATTTAGAATTTACTACCTGCTCGTATTGAATTAATTATTTTTGGTGTATTACATATTTAACTGTATTTTTAGTAAATCGTTAATTTTTTGATATATTTTTGTATAGTTTTATAACCATTTATTCTATAAAAAAAACTTTTAATAAGAATTTTTTAGGCTATAAATAATATTATCAAGTTGTAGTTTTTTAAAACTTACTTTACATTTTGTGTTAAAATTAAAAACTAAATATAATAGGATTTAAAAAAACGTTTGATATAATTATAATAAAAAAAGTTAACATAACTATAAAACTAACATACATATAAAACTATAAAACATATACCTAGCTAGGTATAAATAGGTATAAAACTATAAAATATATGTAATATATTTCTTCATATTTATATTGTTCTTTTATTATATTTAGGTTAATGTGTATTTTTATTTGTGTTTATTTTTATTCAAATATTATTTTAAATAAACATACCCAACAAGTTTTAGTATATACATACATATATATTTTTTTATGGAGGTTAATTTATTTGTATAGATTTAAATTAACCTACACAAAAAATACCTATTAAAAACAATAAACTTTTATATTTAAAAAAATAATAATTTAAATTAATATTTTGTATATTGTATATTCCATTTGCATTTATACATGCCTGAAGTCTTTCAGGCATGCTGTTGACTAAATTTTCACAAGTATTTGTGTTTCTTAGTCTTTCCCAGACCTGATTGCAATGCCTGATTAGCTCTGGTTTGGTTCTTGGGATGTTTTCTCGTTCCACTATCCATTGCCAACTCATAATTGCCCACAAATTTTCAATGGGGTTGAGGTCCGGAGATTTAGCAAGCCAAGGAATGACATTAATAAATTTAAGTTAAGATGTTCCCTACACGTTAGGTATACCTAACATATATGTATCGGACTGTTATCTTGGACCAGGTTTAAAACCTGGTCGTCTGGGAACAGAATTATATAACAAGAATATCTCTTAGTATAGTAACATACTCGACCCCAACTAATCTCCCAGTGATTTCGACCTGCAGTTCGTCATATACCCCCAACATCCGACACTTATACGCCCACTTCTTCTGTCGGATCGCACAAATCTTGGATCAAATCTTGTATGTGGGACCCTCCAAACCTTTACATGAACGTCATCGGATGTGGAAAATACTTTCTCATCGCAGAATACGATGCGCTTCCAGTTCATATTAGCATTTTCGTGGAAAAAATTTAGTCGCCTTTCTGCGTGCTCTGAAGTTAAAAATAGTTTTTAGCAGGGATTCAGCAATGAATCCTTATGAAGGGGTAATTCCATTTATTAGCCACCAATGAGTGCACCTCATATACTCTAATTTTATTTCTTTTTTAACTGTAAATAGACATGAACCCAAGAAGTGAAAAAAACTCCCCTTTTCTTTTCTCCCCCTATCACCTATTTATACAGGGCTACGCAAAAGTTACTATGCAGACCTAACTTAAAAAAATTGTACTTTTTTTGCTAATAAAGCTATCGACATTAAACAAACTGTTAATTGTTAAGAAAATATTTCTCTTTTAAACCATATAGGACACATTTAGTTATTGATGCCCTAAATGGTCTTTGGGAATTTTTCTAAAAATGCAATTTTTTGGCAAAATTGTCTAATTTTATAAATTCATATATTCTTAGAACAAGTTGCCAGCAAAATTTTTTTAATGTAGTTTGTTACCATAGATCTTACTCTATATAAAAGCAATGAAAACATTTTCAAATAATATTGGCTAAGAGTTCAAAAAAATATAATAAGAATCCATCCCAATCACTATTTTCAGCCATTTCATGGTTTAAAAAGGCTATGTTTGAGTGAGTCGATTTAAACCAATTTATGCTTATCATCACATGCACTTATTAGCCTCCAATAACCATTAATAAAATTATTGTGTATTTTGCTTTTAACTAGGCTGGGGGTGTATGTACAGCCCAGCTATAAGCAAAATACACAATATGCCCACCTGACTTTAAGCCATTTCATGGTTTAAAAAGGCTATGTTTGAGTGAGTCGATTTAAACCAATTTATGCTTATCATCACATGCATTTATTAGCCTCCAATAACCATTAATAAAATTATTGTGTATTTTGCTTTTAACTGGGCTGTGGCTATATGTACAGCACAGCTATAAGCAAAATACACAATATGCTCACCTGACTTTAAGCCATTTCATAGTTTAAAAAGGCTATGTTTGAGTGAGTCGATTTAAACCAATTTATTCTTATCATCACAGGCACTTATTGGTCTCCAATAATCATGAATAAAATTATTATGTATTTTTCTTTTAGCTGGGCTGTGGATGTATATGTCCACCTGTGACTATATCCATATTATTAACCATATATTTCGAAAAAGCGTATTGCATCTTTAAAATAACTTGACAGCCTTGAATTGACTTCTAATTTATTCTAAATAAAAATATAAAATATAAAAACCACATACGTATGTACAGTGGCGTCGAAAATTAACTACCCATTTATTTATTTTTTAAATTAAGAAAACATAATCAAATGTACAAAAAATTAATTAAATGACTAAAAGACAT